TGGTTACTAGCACGGTGTTGATAATTTAACTTTTGCTTCTTTCACTTTCTGTTTTAAAATAATGGAAAAACATATTATAATCGTTTGCCTTTGCCTCACTTTCCAGGCAATCTACCCAGTTCAGTCTAGGAATTGTGGAGGTATAAACCAGATGTTTCAGCTGTGATCTTCTTAATATTCTCCTTTTCTTACTGTATGCACACCATACACATGATATGCTTTTACCCACGAAGAGAAGCTATAGGCACAAAGGTTAATATAAATAATGTTTTAATAATCTGCCTCTTTCATAAAGCTTATTAACAGTGTAAATGCTTTCTGCAGTAAGGACTGTCCCTAAGTGCAATCAAATGTGAAGGCAATAGAAGTGACTTGTGTGTGTCATTATTTCAGGATAACCATTGGAATATTTCTCTATGCTTGTTTTGCAATGTTTGACTGGCTTTCTCGTGTCCGCAGGAAGTGACTTCCCATTTGTAGTGCTGTCACTTGTTTGAGTCATTGACTTGCTTGAGTCAGTGACATATCTGTAGCATACAATTGTATATTAAGTGTGAAATTCTCATAAAAGATGATGACTCAGAGGATCCATTCATCTGCGTATATAGCATGTGTTAGTCTCACAGATGGAGGCCAGTGTATAATAATCTAAAATGCATGAGTCATACAAAAAGTATAAATTGAAGTTTAAATGCTACAGCTCAAGTTATTGGTAAAATGAGCAGTAGAAGGTTTTGCAATGTTCCCAAATGTTACCTATATGAGCACAATGCAAGTGATTGTATACTCAACTTAAAAAAAACAAACAAGTTTATAATTAACTATTCTGTGCAATAGAATTGCACAGAGCGGCCCCAATCCTGCTCTTCTTAGGTCCCCTGATGGCACTTCTGGCTCTTCTCAGAGGCCAATGGAGAGAGGGCTTCCCTTGCGGCTAAGTTCCAGACTCCCCTGAGAGTGAGACAGCGGAAATCAGGCCCAAAGTTGCACAGGTCGCCTGTAGGGGTGCTGGTTGGTGGTCCACTCAGAAGCACAGCTGGTGCACGGAGATAGGTCTGCAGACAGGAGGCGCCTGTGCGTGGTATGCAAGCCCTTCCGGGATTTAGATGTTTACTGGGTAGTCGGTTCAAGTCAAGGTCAGGTACCAGGGGGGAATCAGAGCAGACATAGTCAGATGGGATAGCCGAGGTCATACACAGAGGAGCGAGAGAGAGAGAGAGAGTATCCGTAAGCCAAGCCGAGGTCAGATCAGGGGTAAAGCAGAGTAGACAGGTCCAGGAGCAAGCCGAGTCGGTAACAAGAAATCACAGGTCAGAATCACAGGGAACAGGAAACAGGAACCAGGCACAGGGAGCTAGAGATCATCCAGCAACTAGAAGAAGTGATGAGACTCCTTATAAAGGCAGTCTGGCACCAGACTGAGGCTGATGTGTACTTCTGCGGCCATGTAGAGTACTGGCAGAAATGCCAGATCTTCCAGAACTTCTGCCGTGGACAGGACCCTGATACCTGCGGACTTGATCCCGAGCTGTGCTGCCTGCATCCATAGACACAGACAGTGTGGCTCATCCCCACCCCCCACTCCCTTGTCACAGGATTTTACTGACAGCAGTGGGAGCCAATGACTCCTGCTGTCCCAGCAAAGCCTGTGAGAGCATAGTGAGCCACTACAGACAGATGTAATGGAGGGGGGGGGGAGGGGGCAAACTGCTATCTAAACATTTTTTACCTTAATGCAATGAATGCATTAAGGTAAAAAATGTTTAGGTTTTGCAACCACTTTATGTTATTGTTACAAAATAGGGATCTGCCCAGGTTCTATTTGCCACAAGTTTGGCTTACGACAATACCTATTAATGTGTAAGCAAAAGGACCAATCCTGTCATTAAATTCTGACAATTCTTAGCGTTAATAGATAAACTACTATCCAAAACACCATAGGAAGCTGGGCACCACCATAGGGGATATGCAAACAAGTCCTTACAGCAGGGATAATTTGCTTGTGTTGTGTTAAAACTGTACTTTGTGTTATGCAATATCACAATTCTCTCAGACACTCTCAGCATACACTGGCAGCACATATTTGTCTGTAGAATTGATTTTGTGCTTTTTCAATTAGCTCAACTTACATACAGCAGCAGCACTCCAATCTGCACCCTGCATTGCAGGACTCAGTCCATTAGTTTTGGGGGGAAAAAAGCTGTTAAAGGAACTGCAACTACAAAAGTAACAACTAACCCTAAACTAAGCATAACATAAAATTAACCACTTCACCTCTGGAAGGTTTACCCCCTTCATGACCAGAGCATTTTTTTTGCTGTTAACCAATGTGCTAATTGCTAATTTAATTGGCAATTGCACAGTCATGCAACACTGCATCCAAATGAAATTTAGATTTTTTTTACACAAATAGAGATTTCTTTTGGTGGTATTTGATCACCACTGTTTTTTTAATTTTGTATTATATAAACAAAAAAAAAAGACTGACATTTTTTTTAAAAAAAGCAATATTTTCCATTTTCTGTTATAAAACATCACAAAAATAAATAAATCTAGTTTCTTTATAAATTTAGTTCAAAGCGTATTCTGCTACATTTCTTTGGTAAAAAATATCCAAATAAGTGTAAATGAATTGGTTTGTGTGAATGTTATAGCATTTACAAACTATGGTATAGATACTGGAATTTATATAGCTATAGACGCTATAATAATAATGGCGGTGATCAGTGATTTATAGTGGGACTGTGATAGTGTGTCAGTCAATCTGGCTCTAACAGACACTAGATGGGAGGGATACTGACTGACTAACACTGATGTCCCTAGTGACACTAATACAGTCATCAGATACAATACTGTGCTAATGACACTGGCTGGGAAGGGGTTAACATTTAAAGGCAATCAAGGGGTTAACTGTGTGTCTGACAAGTGTAAGGTGTGTAATGTGTGCTGCTTTATCTCACAGCTTTTTTTCCAAAGAACTCTGTGCTGTGATTAGATACAGCCGATCAGCAGGTTTCAGAGAAAATCATTGGCTGAAACCTGCTGACAAACTCGTGCTGTATCCAATTCCAGAATGGGTTAGCAAGGGGGCTCATGTGCCCAAAACCCAGAACCCAGGCAGCCTATTTGTGCCCATCAGTGCAGCCTCCACAGTGCCCATCAGTGCATCCTCATCAGCACACATCAGTGAAGGAAAAATATCACTTATTTACAAAACTTTATAACAGAAACTCAGAAAAAACTTTTTTCTTCAAAATTTTCAGTCTTTTTTTATGCGTCTAGCAAAAAAATAAAAATCCCAGTGGTGATTAAATACCACCAAAACTCTCTGTCCGTCTGAAAAAAAAATGAAAAAAGTGTAGTTTTGGTACAGTGTTGCATGACCACAAAATTGTCATTCAAGTGTGACCTGGCCTAGGCAGGAAGAAGGTGAAAGCGCCTTGTAGGCAAGTGGCTATGGATGAACACATGGTTCAGCATAAACTAATGTTCAGACAGAATTTTGCTTGTGTAGAAGTTCAATGAATGGCTGAATTAAATGTGAGTTTGGCCAAGCCAAATCTCCCAATGCAACTGGTAGTGATATATTTCTCAGCCGTATTAATTGTAACTGCTTCCTGCACAGGTCTCCTGGTTGTTAGGGAGCCACCAGATTTTTGGTTTCCTTTCAACCAGAGAGCCTGGCCCATTCAGCTGGAAATTCCTTTCTAACAGGTGAATCTAAACAAAGGGATAGGGATGATATTTAAAAATAGCATGAGATGCTCCCAAAATTCATTCCATTCAAACAAAACAAAAATGTATGCGGGATCCTCCCAAATTCTGTAGTAGACCCTTTTCTCCTGATATGGATTTTAAGGGCAAACCTCACAGAAAACAAGGAGAAAAAATATGAGGTCCCTCTCAAAATCCTTATCAGACTCATATCCAAGCATGAAGCCTGTCTCCCTTTTCTCTGGGATCATACCAGGCCACATGCCCTGACATGCTCCAACAGGTAATGATGGTGAGGACGAGGGTCTGTTCCCTACAACTCTGGCCCAGTGGTTGTGGGGTTCTGTGGTTAAGGGAATTATAAGAATCTTGCAGCCCCTTTTTAAAAATAAAGAGGACCAAGATGACCTCCTCTCAGTATAAATAAGTAAGGAGTAAATAGTATCCCTACTTATTCACACAAAAGTAAACAGGAGCAGCTGAGCTCATCATAGGCAACAGGAGGGAGTACACACTGCACATATGTGGCTCAAAAGAACAGGACAGAACTCTATTCCATGGCACTAAATAACACTGGTCCAATGGCTGCTCTATCCCTACAATAGTCAATATTCATTGCTGCAAAGGCTTTTAAGAAGCTGGTAGGTATGTTTAGCACAGTGTGATCTCTGCAGGACTAAACTGCCAGGGTGGCAATTGAGGAAACCTGGGAGAAGACAAAGAAATTTTGACCCCCCCACCTTTAACTGTCACCTAACGGGTCCAGTGGCTTGGCTTTGAGCAGCTTGGGACCCTTGAATTAGAGCTTGGGCTTGGTTTAGAGCAGTAAGGGATATCCCTTGTATGAGGGGAAGGTGTGAGTAACACCTGTAATAAGAGACTCTAACATCAGGGGAAAATGGCTGCAACTGTTTTATTAGACAAACTACAGGAGATGACCAGAGACTGCAGACATATTACAGGAGATGACCAGAGAGTGCATATGCATTACAGGAGATGACCAGATACTGCAGATGTACTACAGGAGATGACCAGAGACTGCGGACATAGTACAGGAGATGACCAGAGACTGCGGACATAGTACAGGAGATGACCAGAGACTGCGGACATAGTACAGGAGATGACCAGAGACTGCGGACATAGTACAGGAGATGACCAGAGACTGCAGACAGTACAGGAGATGACCAGAGACTGCGGACATAGTACAGGAGATGATGACCAGAGACTGTGGACATAGTACAGGAGATGACCAGAGACTGCGGACATAGTACAGGAGATGACCAGAGACTGCAGACAGTACAGGAGATGACCAGAGACTGCGGACATAGTACAGGAGATGATGACCAGAGACTGCGGACATAGTACAAAGGATTACCAGAGACCGCGGACATAGTACAGGAGATGACCAGAGACTGTGGACATAGTACAGGAGATGACCAGAGACTGCGGACATAGTACAGGAGATGACCAGAGACTGCAGACAGTACAGGAGATGACCAGAGACTGCGGACATAGTACAGGAGATGATGACCAGAGACTGCGGACATAGTACAAGGGATGACCAGAGACCGCGGACATAGTACAGGAGATGACCAGAGACTGCGGACATAGTGCAGGAGATGACCAGAGACTGCGGACATAGTACAGTGACAGAGACTGCGGACATAGTACAGGAGATGACCAGAGACTGCGGACATAGTACAGGGGATGACCAGAGATTGCAGACCTTTGGGGAGCAGGTACCCTAATTCGACAGGTTCACGTTCCCACTTCCACTGCGATCGCCTAGGCAATTGGAAGCAGAAGATGTCCTCCCTGCCCATAGTCTTCTGGGAGACGTGGCAGGTCCATTCACACAGCGCAGCACTTCTCGCGCATGCGCAGTGGGTACCCGGCTGTGAAGCCGCAAGCTGTCACAGCCATGTGCCCACACTGAAGATACCAGTGCCAGGGAGAGAAGACGGCTGGACAAAGTTCAATAGAAAGTCAAAGTTCAGAGCTTATTACTAAGTTATCATGCACACTGGATGTTTTTACAGCTGCTGTTTTTGGCTTTTGATGTTTTTTTCTACAGCCAGTAAACCCCCCAGCATCCTATGTGTTCATATATACATAGACTATAATCAACATTTTTTGGCTGGGGTGTTTTTTGGCTGGAAAAATACCCCTGGGACTAGTGGGTTTCTAGAAGAGGCTTTTAGCTTTAAAAATGCTCTAACACTGAAAGATGAGGCAAAACGTGGTAAAACGTGGTAAATAGCGGTAGATCATGGCAAACCGGCATTTTTGAACTTTTTTTTTGATGATGCAACAAAAATTTTGCTTAAAAAACGCTAAAAAACGCAAGCGTGAAAATATGCTGCTAAATGCCAATGCAAAAACGCTGAAAAACTCGTGTTTTCAACGTGATTTTACACACCTAATGTTACTAGCATTATAAAACGACCAGTGTGCATGGAGCCTACGTGATGCCATGTTCTGTGGATCAGTAATAAGTGATGCAAAGTTTAGGGGTCAGTGGTAAATGACATTCAGTGCAAAGGTAAGTAGTAAGTGACTACCTGTCTCACAGTATAGCCAAAAAACGTTTCTCTGCATAGCTTACCACCATGCCAGATTTCTTCCTCCTTTCCTGGGTCTGGTGGGCAGGGCGCTCTTGACATGCAAGAACATGACTCCTTCTCTCTTACCTACCAGTATCCTTGGACAATTTCACAGTTATTGATTAAGGCTGGCCATACACTATACAATTTTCTGTCCAATTTCTGCCCAATTTCCTTTAGATTTACCTTCAACTATGTAGTACAAGAGCCTGCCTAATTGGATACAATTGAAAGTGCTTTTAGGTTTGACCTCATATTATATGTTTTTTGGTAAAATCTAAACCAAAAATCTTAAGAAAATTGTATAATGTATGGCCAGTCTTAATATGGGCATGTGTCCACATAAAGGCACCATCATCACCAATATCCTATTACTTTGTTTACTTGTGCTAGGCTCTAATTAGCTATGGGTCAGGTGAATAGCTGGGTCAGAAATTAGCAAGACTTTCATATTAGCGGTGAGTTCAGAAGATACTTGATCTCTTCTCTAATGTTTAAACTTATCAAAGGACATTTACAACTCTACTACTAACATGATTGGCATGTATAAGGCTTCTGCTCGTATATATATATACTGTATATATAGTGTTCCTGGTGGCCACTGTACAAAGGATTTCTACATTGCAAGACAAGACCATCAATCATAACTACAAGGCCATGTCTCATACTACTAGAGAACCACTCAGTAAAGTACAAAAAGATACATATTTGAGCTGTAATGTACACATTAGATACACCACCATGTTATATAATAGACCGGGTGGTTAGTGAAGTAAAATACTGAACCATCCACCACCCCTAGAACCATCAGTGGTTCATATAGTGAACTCGGTGTAGAGCTATTCACCCTGAGGTCATCACAGAGGACAAGGGGGCACTCTTTACGTCTGGAGGAAAAGAAATTTAATCTCCAAATATGGAAAGATTTCTTCACAGTGAGAGCTGTGAAAATGTGGAATAGACTCCCTCAAGAGTTGGTTCTGGCCAGCTCAGTGGATTGATATACATAATATAACTGGATACTAACATTTATAGGTAAAGTTGATGCAGGGAATATCTCGGGGGATCAGGAAGGAATTTTCTTCCCAGCAGGAGCAAATTGGATCATGCTTTGCTGTGTTTTTTTGCCTTCCTCTGGATCAACTGTGGGTATAGGATTATAACTTTTTTTTTTTTTATGGTTGAACTGGATGGACTTTTGTTTTTTTTCAGCCAGACTACCTATGTAACCTATGATGATATACCATCACCACAAAACCACTGCTATAATATCATTATCATGAATGTCATTGTGGGTTAACTGTGCATGAACTGCAATACTACACCAAGTGAGATCAATACACAAACATTTTTCAAGGTATGGGTTGCAAGTAGTAATTTATCATTTACATAGAAAAAAAAAAACAAATGCAAAATCAAATACCACGTAAAAGATTACCTGTGATATTTTAACAACTGTAATCATAAAGTGATTACCATAAACCATCCTGGTATGAAATTCATACATTTCAGTTGTGTATTCAGCTAGAGTTCTACATACAGTACACCAAATATACATCACCCTAGGTTCACACCTAAGCATTTTGCATTTTGAAGAAACGCACTACAGTCTATTTAACATAATTTCCTATGGGACACGTTCACATATCTGTGTTTTTCACCCGGTGCGTTTTTTCGAAAGGGTCAGGGACTTTTCTGAACGCAAAAAGTTGCATTTTTGGTTCTATAGACTTCAATGGAAATGCTGCAGAAAATCATGTAGTGCTTTTTTGCTGTTTTTTTTTATGCGTTTTTGCCACATTTTTTATGCATTTTGTGTTTTAAATTTGACTAGCAACAAGAAATAAATGCAAAATGCGGCAAAAACACATGTGCAAGAATGCAAAGCAAAACGCACTGCAGAAACGGATCAAACACAAACTGCAAAGGTGTGAGCCTAAGGTCAGAACCATTTTTACCCCAGCAATCCTGCAGCAGAGCCCTTTATCAGCCATAAATATCTTCTCTGGTTTCCTCTGATGACTACAAATGCTTATCCAAACACCTCCAAGTCCCTGGTATGCTGTGCTAACAGCAGGTACATTGGATAACAGGGGCAGTCACTGAAGCAGACGGTCTGTCGCTAGCTCCAATCAGTCAATCAGTGATTGAGCTGCAGAGTACTTGGAATTTCTGCGACACAGACCTTTCATTGACTCCAATACATTTCCTAGCAACATAAATACTAAGGAGAGCAATTCTGTAGCTGCTAAAATGACTGCTACAATAGTGCCAGCACATTACATACACGAAGCCTGAGGCCACTGTTTTGTAGTAGCCTAATCTGAAAAGCACAGCACTTCCACTAAATCACAAAGGCAAGTATACATGCATGCAAGGCCATAGATTATTTTTTTCCTTGGGGGGGTTAACCTTGGGCACTCAAAGAGGAACAATAACACAGTGCACTATGAGCACCACAGTGAATTATAGGTCTGGCAAAATGGTGCTAAGAGAAAGAGAGACTTAAAGTGCTTGTAAAGGCTGGAGGTGTGCTGCTCCCTGACACAGCCATCCTGGTACTCACCTGAGCTCCCTCTCTCCATCCAGCGATGTGCATGGGAGCCTTGGCTGTCTTGGGTCTCTCTCTTCGCATTGGCTGAGATACAACAGTGGGAGCCATTGGCTCCCACTGCTGTCAATCATGGCCAGTGAGCCAATGAGGAGAGAGTGGGGGAGAGCTTATGGACGCATAGAACAGGGCTCAGGAGTGAGTCCGCACTAGTGAACTCAAAGCAAGGAGCTTTAAGGGGGAGGAGCCAGGAATGTTGGTGGAGGACCTGATAAGAAGAGTATCAGGGCTGTTCTGTGCAAAACCATTGCATAGAGCAGGTAAGTATGACAGGTTTGTTATTTTTTTTAAAAAATAACCTTTAATATCGCTTGAGCCTACACAGTACCATATGCCACAGTCTTTGTACCCAAAGGGCTCATGCACAAGTATGTATGAAGCCATGTGCAATGTAAATACCAGCAGGTACTATGTACAGTTTCCTATAGATATGAATGGTAGTGCACATGCATAGGTAGGTATATGTGCAAAAACTGTGTATAGTGTTTGGAAATATTTCCCTGAAAGCAGACTTTTTGCATTCGGGGGAATATATCCATATGCTACACACATGAGTACCGCCATATACCCACATACAGCTACTCATTCATGAATGTGGGTACGCAGCACCTGGGCATATGCCATATGTACATTGTAAATAGTCTCATATGCTTGTGTCCCTGAGACCAAATAGTGCAAAAGTTCATATTATCAGTAAAAATATGAGAGGTCAGTAGCAGCAGCACTAAAACAAAGAAAAGTCTCAAAGGATCCTTGCTTACCACCTGTTGCATATTCATTGATTAAGTGTTCTTGCATGGCAAGACTACTTACTGTTATCTCACATATATATTCCTATTATTATAGACAAATTTACCACCCTAACTCCTCCCAAAGTTTTTACACTACATAGACAGTATTATACCGAAACGTGCGGATTGTTCCCGATTGGTGCGCTATTACTTTGTGGAACGTTTTGCTTTACGAAATATATCGGCGTTTTTGTGGTGAAATTTCTAAACTGCCATCACTCCCTCATTTTCATGCCCACCTACACAAATCTTATATCAAAACGTTCAGCTGTCCCTGCTGCCACTAAAAATGTCCACGGCTCAGTCATAGTCCTGATAGTTTTCACAATATGACCATTTGTTTGCAACTCACGCCGCCCATTGACATTCATTGATAGCCACCTCAAATCTGAAGGGCAATTTCTAAACTGCGACTGTGCCTTCATTTTTAATATTTCAGAGACATACTAAGCATCAAACTGTAGGTCTGGGTTTTGTGATTCTCACAATATAAAGCAGTGTAGGATTTATCATTTTTAAACTACAACCGTTTGAAGATAGCAACCGCCAGTGAAGTGAGCAAGTTGGAGCAGTTTGTTTTTAAACCGCTCTTTTCTGCCCTTTCTGTAGAGTGAGTTGCCATAGGAACCCAGGTGTGTGAGAAGGCAGAAGAGTGACAAGCCACTCCACCCAGTTACTCCCCCACTCCAGTTGTAGACTACTGGTGGAGGCAAGAACACTTCACACAATTTCCCAAGAAATTGTAGCTTTTCTAGTGTAAGCTGTTCTTTCTTAGTGGCCTCCCAACAGCTGTCCCTGCCTGCCATGAGTCCCACTGATCACCTCCAGCATCCCACACTGTCTCCTTGCTGGTGGATGAGGCCAAAGTCTGGTTGCCAAAAGCAGTCAATCAGAGTTGTCCTCTCCCTGCCACTCTGTCCTGTCAATGGCTGGGAGACACAGGGGAATGCCTGGGCTGCGTGACTCTAGCACCTTAAA